TCGGCGAGGGGAACGCTGGATTCGGACACGACGCGGCTGAGCGGGGACGCGAGTGTGCCTGTGCCAGACGACGGGCTAGGCGGGGGGCGTACAGCGATGGCAGAGGTTGTGTGGCCTCTGGGGCGGGCAAAGAGGTCCTGGGCTGGAGAAGGGAGGGGCCGGGGAGCGAGGATGGGGGTGGAGGAGGCAGAGGAGCGCGGGGAGCTGTTGGCTGTGGCGTTGGGGTTGAGCGGGGACGAGACGGAGGACGTGCGGCGGGTGCGGGTGGTGGGCAGCGGAGAAGGCGTGGGAGAACGCGGCATTGCGCCACGGCGGTGAAGATTGTGGAAGAAGGACAAAGAGCAGGAAAGAGGCTGACCGTCGTGAGAATTCAATCAGGTTATTTATAGACGCCAGACCGTCGACCTTTATACTGAACACTGCTGTGCCCGGAACAATGGCCTGCGGCTGGGAGACTCCTTGATCCATCTTCATAGCTCTGTGTTCTGCAGCCTGTCACATGCTCCTTTCCTCACGCCACCCACTCCCATCAACCCACAACCGGCACTCCATTCTCCAGCTCCAAAGTCAACACTTTCTCTGGCGCCCTCAAACTCAACGTATTCACGTCACCACAGACGTTCCATACGCATCACCCCTATAAGCGAGTACCCCACGAATCATGATTGCCGTGGACAACTTACCTCCAAAATGATCATGCCAGTACATGATACGTGCGTGATCAATCACCCCCTCCCCTTCTGCACCGCACTAAAACACTAACACCCCCACATACGTAACTTGACTCACTCCTCATACTGATACATCCGCTGATCATCAATACAGCTGTTAGAAAACGCAATCCGCGGAGCCAAATTCTCCGATCATGCCAACAGCACAATTCGACTGTCGAGCTCTGGTATACAGTCAACCTCCCGATCAGCCTTCTACATTTGGAGCCGGAAAAGCGTTGCGGGCGCCGGAACACCGAGACGGATACAGACGCTGCCAGGAGCACCGAGACAGCAACAATTACAGAATCAATTCAACCGCAGCCAGTCATTCGTAATCCAAGCATTCCAAATACACCACCACGTCTGAACGAACACTCTGATCAATTACACGTTCCGTCTAAATCGCCGCTACCCTCGAGGTCCCAGTGCTGCACCATACATACAGAGCAATGGTGAGATGGCCGAGCGGTCTAAGGCGCCAGACTAAGGTGTTGATTAAGTACGTCAAATAATCTGGTCTCTTCGGGGGCGGGAGTTCGAATCTCCCTCTCATCATACATGATCTCTTTTGTGTGCGTTTTAATCCAAACTTTTTCGATGCTCATGCTTATTCCGATTCCAAACCAAATCAACAACAACCCCATCCGACGCGAAACTATGAACCACCCTAGACATTCCTCGAGCCAATGCAACACAAAACTACGAACAATCCTACTCATCCCACCCGTTCACTCCAGCAATTCTACATCCAAGGCAGTCGCCCTCCATATTCCCACCCACTCACACTGTGACCAGCCAATGGTGAGATGGCCGAGCGGTCCAAGGCGCCAGACTAAGGTGCACCTGAATCATTGTCGATCAACAGCAACCTTCATCTGGTCTCTTCGGGGGCGGGAGTTCGAATCTCCCTCTCATCATATGTGTCGAGCCCTGGTTTTTGCCTCGTTCCTTCTCATTTCATTCACGGCAGTGTTTGCGTCCTTTCTTGTTCTCGTCAGTTTTCCGTGTTTGATCTATCATACGTTTCTAGGCTATCTACCACGTCTATCGATCTTTCGCACGCCCATCCCCTCTCACCACTTCGTTCCAGCGTGATGCTCATAAAAAATACAGCTCCCACACGAGCGCAATTCAAACGTCTCGAACACAATCCGACACGTTCATTCTAGCAATTCTAATCACGCTATCCAAGTAAGTCACCGTGCAATGTCCTATACCACTACATGAATGCAATTCAAACGTCTCGAACACAATCCGACACGTTCACTCCAACAATTCTCTTTACACTCCAGCGTACACCTACAGCTACCCAGCCTCCGTATCTGTTTCATGGCTTCCGCGTGTACAGCTACACTATCCATGTAAGTCACCGTCCGTGAGCTGTACCGCCATTTACTCACCTTAACCATTGGTGAGATGGCCGAGCGGTCTAAGGCGCCAGACTAAGGTTCAGTAATATCTTCATTGCTGCCTAATCTGGTCTCTTCGGGGGCGGGAGTTCGAATCTCCCTCTCATCATATGGAATTCTCTTTATCTCTTTTTCTCTTCTTTCCTCCCTGCCAGTGCATCTTCCCATGTTTGATCATTTTATAATGCGTTTTTAGGAGCGACCGCCTACCTATATTACTGTGCACTATGACTCCACACCACGCTACGCATCCCGAATTCCTGTTCCTACAAGCCTGCTCGCACTTCATTCCAGCGCAACACAGCTACGCCTCCTATCCACACCAGCAACTCTACTCGACTTCCGCGTACAGCTACCACATTCAAGGCAGTTCCAGTCCGTATCCTCTCCCACCTCACGTCTACTGATGACATGGCCGAGCAGTTCAGGGCGCCCGACTCAGGTGCACATACCAAGAAGTATGTTCAAACAAATTCCGCTGGAGTTCAAATTTCTCTCCTCCCTCTCACCATTTACACTGCAGCGGACTTTTGCCTTGCGCGGTTAGAATGACTATGTATCTAATCTTATCTCACCCGCGTCTATCTGAGACCCATCTTATCCAGACTTCGTTCCAGGTGCGCCGCCAACTCCCGACTCGACAGCATTCTCTATCTAGATTCAACACAAACGCAAGTAATCCACCTACTCTTCAACACGCTCGCTTAGGTCAATTGCACTATCACACACATCTCCAAAATCCCACAGCTTATAGCGGCCCTACCAGTGTATCCCTTTGTACCCTTCAGTAATGGTGAGATGGCCGAGCGGTCTAAGGCGCCAGACTAAGGTGAAATCTCTCTACTACCTAATCTGGTCTCTTCGGGGGCGGGAGTTCGAATCTCCCTCTCATCATATCCATCTGGTTCATTCTAATTTTGCTCCGAGTTCTAGGGATACAATACGCATCCTCATAATCTAATCTTACGTGCGTCTATCTTAAACCATCTTATGATACCCCGATTCCTGTTCCTCGCGACCCGCTCGTACCTCTCGACTCAACAGCATTCCCAGTCTGAATTCACTATGCAATCCCTCACTTTCCAGCAATTCTAGTACACTTCCGCGCTCCGCCCACCTCGGTTCATCGTATGTCACGTACGTACACCCCTTCACCCTCGAACTCTCATCGCGGCTCACGCCTCAATCTTATCTACCCTAGGTCAATCCCATCAATTTTCATCTGTGTTTCTTCAGCCGACAAGGAAGGAGTTCATCTTAATCAGATAAAGCTCGAAGATTTGTTGGTATTTCCAGTAAAATGATCTCATTACTTACCATAGTTTGCTCCTCAGAGCGCTCATAATCCTCAATTTTCTGAAGTGACGCGACACTACACGTGATGGGAAAATCTGAGAACTAATGTGGGCCTCGCAGTGGTCAATCTCCTCCGTCAAAATATTATTTCAGATTCTCGCGGGACACGTATCGACACACAGAACCAGCACCAGAATAGAAGGTACGCGTGGACTGTCGTCATTTCACAAGCCTGGACATATCTCATATAGCTCTGCGCGCTGAGGAACGTGTTGCGTGGCGAGGCACAAAGTAGTGAGACTTAGCCTGAGGTGTATTAGTGATCACAGAGCTGACAGGGCCCTCATTCTTCCGACGCTGATGACAGTGCGAGATATCAACTGGAGGGATACCAGACCCACTGTCGGTAGGGTTTGCTAGTTCTGGGGACGGATACTTGACGATCGACACGACTCGCGTTGCTCCTAACTCCTAGCTGAACTTTCCAATCTTCCTATACCCACGTACCTTACCTTCCAGCTGTACCCATCACGCAAACACCTTCTTTCCACCTTAATTGTACCCCCGATGAAGGACAGAGATCGGCGATAAGGATTGTCTGTCATTACGGCGTACACAGACATGACCTGTCTTCTCATTGGGTTGATAGTCAACCTAAGCTCATTCAAAATTTGTGCATATGAACTAATCTTCGTCGTTTGCTAATGTCTCTGATGATGAGCAGACTTGATGCTTCCAGTCTCAAATGAGTCGACTTCTTCTTCTCTGCCGCGATCCATCACCTTCGGTTCTTGACTCCTTCACTATGTGACTCGACCTCTATCCAGTCATCCTGGATGCCCCAGCCGCCGTCAATGACTATCAGTATCCCTGATTTGGGATCTTGTGAGCGCCAAACTAAGGTTCCTCGTCCTATGGCTATTCGATGGGAAACCTATATGCGGAAGCAGAACTTGAAACTACAATAGTGATTTTCTCCTTTTACGTTCTCCTTGCAAATGTTAAACGCGTATTGTGCAAAAAAGTGTATAAGACTTCTCTAAGACGACACATGCTTGAACATCCACGTTATCTTCAGAAGCCCTAGAACTCATTGGGGATTTTTTCACAACAACTGTACTGTATACAAATTACACAATCAGTCATCCATTATTTTCTTTTATCCAAGTCTGCCAGACCTGACCGAGTGATTGCAGATGTCGCGTTTCAATTCAAACGTTTCCATCATGGCTGCAGCTTGCATGCTGAATCCTGGCCTTGCTGTTGCATCTAACATTTGGTTATATCGCCGTAACTATGGGCGCCGTTCGTCCTCCCTTCAATTATAGAGCCGATGCCGGTCCAGATTAAATACCGGTCATTCTGAGGCAGAGTCGCAAGATGAAGATGGCCCAAGCACTGAGACTCTATCTAATCCTATTTCAATGTTTGATGATCAATCTCATCCGAGAAGATGTCGAGATGACTGCACTACTTCGCAGTAAGACAGGTTCATAAGAATTTGATCGACAGCCAGGTTTCTATGGTATTCGCAGTTCCCTTCGTTCACGTCCGCATTGAGTGTTCGGCACTGTGGTTGAAGGACAAGACACGGTCGACAATGATATCCCAAATCTTGTTGACATTGAGAGAGGTCGAGTTCGGTATCTGTGTCCCTGCACCTTGTGATAACTCACAAACTCTATGATGTCCATCCCACCTTTGTTGATGTCACCCTCTACGGATCTCTGCTTACATCACAAAATCATTTCTTCTGTCTCTGTACCACACTTGTCCGGGGTCCCAGGCTGTTTTATCTAACACATTTGAGGTCTGACTAGGCTTAATGCATATTCAAACTCAGCCAATTCCACTCTTCGCGCACCTTTTTCCGGAAAATATCTAACCACGCTCTATGTAGAGTCTTTGCGCGGCAATCCAATGTCCAGGCCACATCGCTCGCTACTCTGTCCTAAAGCATGGTGAAACTAGATTAAAGCTGTCAGTCCTTCCATCTGCCCGAATCTCCCTCTCATCATGGCCGAACGCGTATTCTGTTTTTACCGCGTTCTCAATCCTTAAATGGTTCAATTGACAGCCGACTTCTTCTGTGAGCCCATTCCACATCAATCTTCCTCGCTTGGGTGGTCCAAGCCGTCGACTGGAGTCAAGGATACTTAAGACTCGAGGGCCTGAGTCGACATCTTGTCTCATCACGAGACTAATACTGTGGCATTGGGGTTAGTCCTTATGAAAAATAACCGGCCATCTTGTCTATCCCAGGCCCTCTTTCATACTCAACTTGTACCAGCATTGCCGTGATCTACACGCTCAAACCGTCCTCTTCGTTCTTCAGTTCAAATATGTACTGAACAGAAAATGGCGCCGGGACTTCGATACTTCCTTGCATGCGTCTGTAAAATGAGGTCTACTTACTTACCTCGTTTTCATTGTACCCTCTTGTCTCTTCCTCACTGAATGAGGCGAAGATGAAAAGACTAACGAAAATGCTCCCTTATATTGATGATAGTATGGAATTTATGCCTCATGTCCTGACATCATGCACAATCGTCCCACATTGAGACATGGTTGGATAACCGAACGTTCTGTGACACCAGAATGTGCTAATTTTTGTTTCTTCTTTCTTTCCATGTCCTTGCGTTCATGCTTTCTTCCCTCATCCACTTACATCATCCACCGAAAATTAACATCACAACCACACGCTGCATGTCCCCTCGTCGGCGCATGAGAAGTGGAGTTATATGAAAGTGGAGTTCGGCTCTTGACTCCTCCTTCCACATACTTCGATCATAGCGTCCATCAGGTTTCACATTGGCGATTATAAGCTCAAGGTTTGCATTCTGAGTTCACTTCCTCGTGGGTAGTCTCTCACATCTATGTTTGCTTTCACATCATCTCACCCTCCCAATTACCCCTGGTATGCGCATTCAGCTGTTTAATCATTCCTTAACAGGAATCCTGTCTGATTTCTCTTATGAGCTGTTTCAAGCATCAATATCTCACCCCTGCTGCGTCTGATTGATTGAATAATATTACTAGACAGTTCAACCCATTTGGACACAACTTTGAAAGAATGTCTTCTCTCTCGCCTTTTGCCGTTATTGTCGCGAGCACAAATCCTATTCTATATCATATATCTACGTTCGGTTACACTAACGCAATTTCACAGGCTACAGCGTTTTTGTGTTGAATCATCTGTCCGATGAATCTTAACTCGCGAGCTAATACCTCTTTGGACACTGGTAGATTCCAGACTTCTTCTCTCCCCCAACCTGATGCATCTCGTCATGCCGATAACCTCGTTTCTGTGAATACCTCATGATTACACGCCACTCCACATGCGCTGTTCAAATCGAAGAGGAAGGTAAATGGAACTAACGTCTGAAAATCTACACTCTTGAGAACGTTCTACAAGGGAAGCCAAGCCATCAACAGTTGGGGCAACCAACAATGCCGTCCTTTACCCGAGAGAGACTTCCTTTCGCTGTGGCTTGTATGGACAGTAAATCTCACCAGATTCTTTCTTGACTATTCTAGATAGAAAATCTACGATTCCCTCTCACTGAAATCAGCTTCGATTCGAGCTTCTTGTCCTATAAGCTCCAGATCCTATCGGCATCCTGTTCCCAGAATCTATATATTAAGAAGGCACAAGATCTCATAATATAACAATATCAGGCTTCTTTACCCTAGACAAGCAGCTTGTGATCATTGGTTGAGTAGGACTATTGACCTTCCAAGGCTATTGTAAGGCTACATTTCTCGTTTTATGTGATTTTGAAGGAAGTACCGAATTTCTCAATTGTCACGAGA